AGATATGTACAAACCACGTTCTAAGAAAGAAAGAATCAGGGAGTTGTAAAATTTTGGATAAACTAGTTTCTAAGAAGGGAGGGGTTGGGAAGGTGCCTTGAAATCTGATTTATTCTGTGCAATATGTTCAAATCATTAGGGTCCGCTACCCTCCATACACCGACCAGAATACAAGATGGATAAGATTTCTGGTTGTCAAGTACGTAAAAAAGAAGCAACGCCTGCGTCCCGTTGGTGGAATAAGGAACGCTTTGATGCGTTTGCCCTTTTACAACCGTTTGCACGAAATGGGATCCTGAAATATGAAAAGCTGAATGGACCTTTTCTGAAATACAAAATCATAGTGCATTGTGGTCTAGCTTCAGCACAAACAACGCCATATTTGGCAGCAAGAACAAAAGATGTTTGTACTAAACCTAGACCGCAATGCAATGCAAACTGCAATCTCAGAAAAGCCCTTAAAAGATGTTTGCGTTTTTATCATAAGAAGATGTTTGCGTTTTTATCATAAGAAGATACATTTTTTATTTATTTTTTGTACACATTTTAACTCTTGAGTAAAAATATTTTAGAAAAAACAAACAAGCCATACTTTAGCTATAGAGTTTTTTATGCATGTAGGTCAAATGGCCTATCTGCACCGAAGAATCTTTGCGACTGTTTCCTTTGTTCAAAAACGATCTGTTGTTAAGAGTCGCATCTCGATAGATTAGAAGTCGAAGATTTCGTGGGAAATCGCGCAATGGTTCTCGGATACATGTGGACCTTTAATCGGTCTCCATTCTTGTTCTATGATTAAGTATAAATTAACTGTATTAGAGTAGAGTGATCGCACTTAAACCGTGCAACTGTACAAAATCTAAGTAGTATTAATTTGTACTAAATGTGGACCTGAAGCAAGACGTATTGAATGCTCCATTTGTATCAACTCAATTTAATTTGCGTACCGCCTGCACGATTTACTAAATACAACTAAAAAGCACTATTTAGTTTGTACAGTTGCACGGATTAAGTGCGTTCACTCTACAAACATTAAATGTGTGCAACATTTTGCACTATTTACTACAAAATATTGTTCATTAAACAAATAGAAAACAATAGAATTAGCATGATTTAGCAGTATTTAGTGGTATTTATGTTGCACAGTTTTAGTGTTT